GGGTTCTGCCCCCCTAACTGTCATCGAGCCCATACGCCTATGTGGATGATTAGATACTGTTTACCAACAAGGGGAAACCATGTTGAAAAGTTTTCAAGGAACTGTGTCTTGGCCAACACCCAGATTAAACACAGTACCTACTGGTTTAGCGAGAGTCAGTCTCTTGGCAAAAATAATTTGACGCAACATGTAAAGGGGATATCACAGGATAGGATAAATATTGTTTAATGTCCTCCTAGATGCCATACGTTCTGAAAATATGACGTTATCTGAAGTTGTTCAGCTAAACGAAATAGATTTTTCCTTTTATACAGTGGATTTATCTATGATTTTAATATAAAACATTTATGAAGCTGTTTTGTACAGAGTTTTGAGAGTTATTTTAATGGTATTATGTTGTGTTGTAGGTCGTTCGACATTTTGGTATAGTTGGAGAGTGTAATATACAGTATGCTTTACATCCTGAATCTCTAGAATACTGTATAATAGAAATAAACGCCAGATTATCACGAAGTTCAGCTCTTGCATCTAAAGCTACAGGGTAAGTTCTCATCTAGCCTCTAAAGCTACATCGTAAGTTCTGATCTAGCCTCTAGAGCTAGATGATAAGTTCTCATCTAGCATCTAAAGCTAGAGGGTAAGTTCAAACTTCCATCTAAAACTACAGGGTAAGTTCTGATCTAACATTTAAAGCTACAGGGTAAGGTCAGCTCTAGCATCTAGAGCTACAGGGTAAGTTCAGGTCTAACCTCTAGAGCTGGATAATAAGGTCTGATCTAGCCTCTAGAACTAGATGGTAAGTTCTGATCTGGCATTCAAAACTACAGGGTAAGTTCAGCTCTTGCCTCTAAAGCTACAGGGTGAGTTCTGATCGAGCCTCTAAAGCTACAGGGTAAGTTCTGGTCTAACATCTAAAGCTACAGGGTAAGTTCTGATCTAGCCTCTAAATCTACAGGGTAAGCTGAGCTGTAGCCTCTAAAGCTACAGGGTAAGTTCTGATCTAACATTTAAAGCTACAGGGTAAATTCTAACCTTGGCTTATTTTTACTGATAAATCCTTGACATAAAACAGAAAAGGAAAATATTGTGATTTAAATTCTCTTATGTATCCCCTTTCAGTAGAAATGTAGTAAACTCATACCAGTGAACTTGATCAATTTAATCATATTATGGTTTTGTGTTTCATATCAGTGAACTTAACTTTTAATATTATTATTTCAGATATCCTCTAGCATTTATAGCAGCTAAGTTAGCTTTAGGTATCGGTCTACCCTCGTTACAGAACAGTACAACACAGATGACAACAGCATTCTTCGAACCTAGTCTGGATTATATTGTTACAAAAATACCACGCTGGGATATGGACAGGTTTACCCTCATGTCTAAAGATATCGGCAGTGCTATGAAGAGTGTTGGAGAGGTAGATTATACTATCTATTATATTAGTCGTGTCAATGCTGGACCTTTTCTATGGAATAAAATACCAAAGTCAATGAAACAGTTACCGTCTTTGGCCATTTTAAATCTCAGCACAAAACATTCTGATTTTTCAAAACCCTGATCCGTAAATAATTAGTGAATATAACAACCAACAGTGCCTTGGAAACTGTTCTTGGGTATTATCGCGCTTTATAAATGACGATTTATTATTGTTATTTTGATGATTAGAAATTCCTTGGAATTAATAAGTTTTGTATTTCATGGAAACAAATTTGACTTAGTGGAATACATGCATATTTATTTAGACACTACATATTGATGACTCAGTTTACGATGTCTTTAGGGAAGTTTTTCATCGTGATTCCCCCTGTCAGTTGTGTAGGATGTAGGGTCTGGCATGGAACAATGTCTAGTCTTGTCGATAGGTCGAAGAACCTAAGTAAGATGTACACATCAGCGTGCACGTTAAAAAAAAATCTGTGACTGCTGGAATTTGAAGTATGAATAGGTCATACATAATGCTGCCTGCCGTTCAAATCTTGCCTCATAGCACACTGCATGGCACATGCCTGTTTTTCTCTTTCCCCGATTGGTACAGAAAAGTAGGACGTTAATCTTCATTTCATTTAAATTCTGTCTTATTTTGATGTTTGAAATGTTTATTCCAGGTAATGGCTATAGGTAGAACCTTTGAAGAAAGTCTGCAGAAGGCGTTGAGGATGACCCATCCAACTGTCGATGGCTTCACGTCAGCATTACCAGCAGGAAAAGAATATCCAGTCAACTTTAATATTGATAAAAACCTGAATAGCCCTAATAATACCAGAATACACACACTAGCTAAGGTAATATACCTATTTCTAATTTCAGATTCGTTTAAATTTGAATAAGTCCTGTCTTTAAATAAAATGGGGTTTAACGTCCTTCCCAAAAAGGTGTGATTTATTTTTGAGGTGAGAGCTGTCCGTAATACCTCATTTGATTGATGAAATTTATAATATGGACCAAGTGTTTTGGGTGGCTGAATGGTTAATGTGTTCTCATAGGATCATAAGGTCTGTCATTGACTCAAGTGTTGTAATTTCGATTCCCTGCTTGTACCTCACAAGGAGTAGGGTCGCTTGTCCAACCTCGTGGGTTTTCTTTTGGTCCTCCAGTTTCCTTCCAATGTTAAAGACCCCTACATGCAAGTGAATTATTGAAATAAAATTACACCATATGTTAGTCCTGAAATGACCTGGTTTGTATGAGTGGACATTTACCCATATCTCTCTCTCTCTCTCTCTCTCTCTCTCTCTCTCTCACCACTTGTTTATTTACAGGCATTTCAATCTGGCTATACAGTGGACGAGATTCATGGACTGACCAACATAGACAAATGGTTTCTACACAAACTAAATAGAATTATAGATATAGAGAAAAACCTAGGACAATTTAACAAGTGAGAAATAAAATATATTTACACACAATTCATGCACTGGGGTCATTGATTGAAAAAACGATAATTATCTGTAATGTAGGAATGAAATGGAATTAACAGTAGTGCTACGATACGCCTTCTCTGGGATGCAAGGGTATACTTGGTACCTCGGTCCAATCCGAAGAACCAGATACTTTTGCTGGGCAGGCACTCATACCTGTACCATTAACAAGGGCAACCCCACTGGAGTTCGGTCAATATAAAGCAAATATTAAGTTATAAAAAATATTTGGCTAAAATGCATCCGATCACGGCATGTCACATTCTTTGATAATAAAAACTTTTTTGTATCCTTTGCTGAAGAAAGTTAAGGGAGAAGGATACTGAAATGGGCTCTCTGTTCATCCTAGTTTTGTCCACAGAACACATCTCGTAAACATTCAAGATGAAACACATATGAACTTATTGAATTGAAAAGTTCTCAAATTTAGTGACTTTTGTGTTTCCATGGACACAAATTTAAGTTAGATATTTGTATACAAGACGCAGGATGTTGATTAGAATCTTCTTGTTTTTCTTTCTTTCTTTGGCCGTCCGTATCTGGTCATCCATAAATTCCTGTATATTAATAATATTATATATTTGTAGAGATAATTTAGATGATGAGTTGTTGGTTCTAGCGAAGAAAGCTGGTTTCTCTGATAAACAGATTAGTAAAGTATTAAAGATATCTGAAGCTGAAGTACGAGATATCAGATTAAACAAATCTATCAGACCCTGGGTTAAACAGGTCCGTATTAGTTTATATTCTAGCCATTATTTTCTAGCCGATATTGCCTACTAGATTCATACATTTAAAACAGCTATCATGGGGTTTAACATCCTACTTTTATGCTCTATCTGGGGAAATTTTGCAGCCTACTCTTGTTCAAATTCGGGGTCACGGTGGCTAAATGAGTAAGATGCTGGCTCGCTAGCCTGGAGTTCGGGTGTTCGATCCTGCATTGGCTGAGAAAGTTCATCCAGATTTTCTTGCGTGGTTCCCCCTTGTCAGTGATGCAGGACGTAGGGCCTGACAAGGACAGCTGTCTAGTCATTTGGATCCCTTGACAGTTGGAATTCGATATAAGAGTAGGTCGTAGTGCCGCTGTTCGGGCAAAATTTGCCTCATAGCATACTGTATGGCGTATGCCCGACCTAATTAGCCCAGTTTGAAGCAGAACAGTAGGATGTTAAACCCCATTTCATTTGTTCAAATTCAAATTGTCAAGGGTTCTTTTACATGTACATGGGATCCTAGTTTTTTGTCTAAGTCGAAGAACTGGTCATCCCTTGTCAGGCACTACATCCTGCTCCACTAATAAGGGGGAACCACGTCGGAAAATCCCCATTAACTTCAGGCTCAAACACAGAGACTCTGACTTAGACTCTTATGGCGATCAAAAATGTGGTGAAGTTACATCTGACATTGACTAGTGATAGAAAGAGTTTCCTGCATATATTGACAATTGTACTAGGCAAAACAACGGAGTGGGCCCTAGATGTTTATTGCAAAAAAAGTGTCGATCTAAAAAAATATGTAGTTTTGTTCTGAAAAAAAAAAAAGCATAAAAATGAAAATTTAACATAGATCAATAACCAATTTGCAAAGATAATATTTTCATGAAACAAATACTATTTAGAGACCAAAAATTGGTAGAGAAAATGAAATGTTAATTAACGCCAATGTATGTTTTAGTTTAAATTAATTAATACACTCCCGGTGCGAGTTGGTGCGTGACATAACCGAACTGCTCTCATCGAGAGTAATCGAACTGTCACTTCTGCGAGTTATTTCCCTTCTCTCCTGGGGCGCTTTTTCTGTTAACTCCTCGTGTCGGTTAGTCATATTTTTCTGTACACAATGCATCATAATATAAACTATTAGTTTATCTTAGCCTTTGTATATTTACAAGACACTATTACTACGTCCACAACTGGCATAAAGGAAATTGATTTCTATTATTTGATGTGATTAAATTTTGTATATTGTAGATTGATACAATGGCTGCTGAATATCCTGCTAAAACTAATTATTTATACTGTTCATATAATGGTATGGTAAGTACAATCTCTTCATATTAAACAACTATATCTATAATGGTATGGTAGGTACTATCTCTACTTTATCATATTAAACAACTGTCTCTTTGGGTGGGGGGGGATGGCCGAATGGTTAGCACATGCACGCTGTATGATAAGGTCTGTCATTAAGTCAAATGGCGTGGTTTCGAATCCCCGGTTGTAGGGTTGCCTGTCCAACCTCATGGGTTTTCACTGGGTCATTCAGTTTCCTCCCACTGCTAAAGACGCCTACGTGGAAGCGAATTATTGAAATAAAATTGAACCATGTGTTAGTCCTAGTTAGTGTCGAGTGGATGTTAAACCCCATTTCTCTCTCTCTCTCTCTCTCTCTCTCTCTCTCTCTCACTAATATCTAAAAGATATGTTTTTTTTAAAAAAAAAAAGTTTTCTAGGCCTGTAATAATATTTGCCTGGATTTTAGTATCAAGCCTAGTTGATCTGATGTAGACTTTACTTAATGCATCCATGAAGAAAAATCTTTTAGACCAAGTAAAAACAATTGAAAAATCAATCAGAATAAAATAATGGTATAATTTTAATCCGAGTCCTGGGTAAAAAGTCATCCTGAAAGTCAATTTACATGCCAGAATATTCAAATATTAAACTGTTAAGGCGCCGTACCATATGTAATAAACAAGGCAGTGTAAGACATATATTTGGTCGGTGTTTTTTTTTTCAGGAACATGATTTAGAATTTAATGATTTTGGTACGATGGTGATGGGTTGTGGACCATATCATATTGGTAGTAGTGTTGAATTTGATTGGTGTGCTGTGTCCTGTATCAGGGCATTGAGAGGCTTGAATAAAAAAACGGTAGATACAAAGTTTTCTTATTCTTTTTGGACAATTACAAAGATTAGTCTCTCTAAAACCAATTTAAACCTGTGGACTGAACTACTTACAAGATGTCATATTGCAGCTAATTGGATGGTGTGAACAGACTAGAAGTGAGATGGAAACAGTTGTCAACCAAGAACAATTGATTGACTGTTGTCAACCAAGAATGTTTGATTGACAGTTGTCAACTAAGAATGTTTGACAGTTGTCAACCAAGAACGTTTGATTGACAGTTGTCAACTGAGCGACATCCGATTTTCAACTGTATATCAAACAACATTAAGTCAAACATCTGCTTTATTACTACCAACTGAACAACATCCAATATCTAATCCTTGAGTAGCATTTAGCGATTGAGAATACTAATTGAAACGTCGTGCTATTTGTGTATAAACCAGTGATTGTTTTCCAGCATTTTATCAACTTTGCAACCAAACACAGAACTGTCTTCTGAACACCTGATTGTCTTCCAAGTGTCTGATTGACTTCTGTCTTCCAAATGGCTGATTGTTTGCCATAATTGACAACTCTCATTCATATATCTAATTAACAACTGCCAACCAAACAACCATCTTTGATTTCCAACCAAACAACCATATTTAATTTCCAACCAAATAACCATCTTTAACTGACATCCAAATAACCATCTTTAATTGACAGCCAAATAAGTTATTGTTACTTTAAAGGGATAAGAGATGATAAAACCAGTAAAGATTAATGTTAATATTATATTATTAGGTTGTTGTGAACCATAATCCTGAGACAGTGAGTACAGATTTTGATGAATGTGATAGATTATATTTTGAAGAATTGTCTTTAGAGAGAGTTTTAGATATTTACCAGGCTGAGGTTAGTTTCATTTCTTCTATTTAAAATTTCAAGTCTGTTCGTTTATTTGGAATTTTGAGACCATAAATTTTCTCTTCAGATGAAATATAAATTTAAATCTATTAAGATTGAGATTTTGTTTTCCTGCATTGTGTAGCTAGATCAATTTAGATCGTTCTGTGTTTACAGGAGTTTATTGGAATCTTGGTATTAGGAAGGTCAGATACCAAATAATGTGTCTTGTTTATTCTATCTATATATTTTAGCTAATTAAAACCTTATTTAATTGTATTTTGTATTGTGTATCAGATTGCAATAAATAATGTTGTTTTTACAGCAATGTAGTGGAGTAATTGTGTCAGTTGGTGGTCAGATACCCAATAATCTGGCATTACCTTTATGGAAGAATGGAGTGAAGGTTCTCGGTACAAGTCCTTTAATGATAGACAGTGCTGAAAATCGGGGAATTTTCTCTGGAATCTGTGATTCATTAGGTGTGAGTCAACCAGAATGGAGATCTCTAAGTACATTGGTAAGACTCTTTTTTAATTTATCAACCTTTTTTACTTTATTAACCTTTTTTAATTTATTAACCTTTTTTAATTTATTTGGGAGGTCGGTTGAACGAATGGTTAGCACGTGCGGGCTGTATCACAAGGCCTGTCATTGAGTCAACTGGCGTGATTTCGAATCCCCGGTTGTACGTAACAAGGAGTAGGGCTGTCCAACCTCGTGGTTTTTTTTCCGGGTCCTCTGGTTTCCTCCCACTGCTAAAGACCCCTACGCGCAAGCGAATTATTGAAATAAAATTAAACCATATGTTAGTCCCGAAAAGACCTAGTTTGTGTTGAGTGGACGTTAAACCCCATCTCTCTCTCTCTCTCTCTTTTTCCTTTATTAACCTTTTGACTGCCAAGTCGAACAATTTACAACCTCTACTCTGCCTTTGTGGAACCTAATTTCTTCCTAAACGCTTGTTTTCTGTCTGTATTACATGAAAACATTACAATACTGATAGAAATTGGTCTTGTATATAGCACAAATGACGCATGCTGCTCAAGCAGGCAAAAGGTTGGAGGGGGGAGGGCCTGGCAAACCCCTCCTGATTGGAGAACAAACCTTGTCTATGTTGTGTTCTATTCTTTAATTTTAAAGGTTGATGCAAGAGAATCATTAAGAAACATAGCTCTGATTAGAATACAGTAATTGTTTATCTATAGAACTTTTGTGTTTATTTAAATGATGCGTTAGATTTTGAGGGAACTGTTGGCTATCTGTGTTTACTTTGACCATCGTATATATATATATAGTGGATCGGCCATGCAAGAGAGTGGTCTGGCTAACCCTCTACTAACAAACAAATGTTTTATCCTTTTGTTTGATTTTATAGGATGATGCGTTAGATTTTGCGGCAACTGTTGGCTATCCATGTTTACTTCGACCGTCCTATATATTGAGTGGATCTGCCATGAACGTTGCTTATTCTCCCATAGAGTTAGAAAAATACTTGAAGGAAGCAGCACAAATTTCAAAAGAATATCCTGTGGTGATCACTAAATTCTATGTTGGTGCTCGGGAAGTAGAAATGGATGCTGTGGCTAAAGATGGCAAGGTAAGTTATTTGTTGTTATTGGACCTGTTGACCATTTCTGACTTGAAGCCACGGTAGTTCATTCAGTGAGTAAGGCCTTGGTACTGGATGAGGTTTTCTGGTGTGTTTTTACTGTGCAGGATGGGCAAAGCACAGCATTTAGTCATTTGGATGGGATGAAATTAACACAGACCCATCCCATATAAAAGAATTCTCAACAGATGGAATTTGAAATAAGAGAATGTAGCGCAGCTGTCTGGGCAAAATTTCACCTTATAACACACTGTATGATAACTGACTTTTTCCATAATCCCAGTCAGTACAGACATGTAGGACGTTAAAAATCATATTATTTCTGACTAAACATTGTATGAACTGTAGTCCAATCGTGTGCAGCATATTGTGGGCATTATTCAGTATATATATATATTGTATTTTATGACAGGTTGTAGCTCATGCTATATGTGAACACGTGGAAAATGCTGGTGTACACAGTGGTGATGCTACATTAATGTTACCAACACAGACTATCTCTCTTACAGCACTTGATACTGTAAGAATGATATTATTTAATTTAAAACATTCAAGTATAAAACTAGCCTGGAGGTCAGGTGTTTTATCCGTGCATTGGCTGAGAAAGTTCATCCAGATTTTCCGGCGTGGTTCCCCCTTGTTATTGATGGGATTAAAAACCGAGATCATGTGTATACGTTGGCAATCACGTAAAAGACCCCTTGACAGTTGGAATTCGATGTAAGAGTAGGCCATAGTGCTGCTGTCTGGGAAAAATTTCCCTCATAGCACATTGCATGGCATATGCCCTTCTTCATTAGCCCATTTCGAAGCAGAACAATAGCACGATAAACCCCATTTCATTTCAAGTATAAAATTCCCTCATGAAGAGGTGTTTGGCTTGTAAGAAAATGGCAGCAGAATTATAATGACTTTGCTTGTCTTGGACATCTAAAGATGGAATTGTGAAATCAATAAAAATCAATAAAAATCAATGCAAACTTAAAGAGAACGCAACAGATAATGTATAATTTATTTTTTATGTAGATCCGTGATATCACGCGTAAAATTGGTAAAAGATTTGAGATCAGTGGACCATTTAATATGCAGTTCCTGGTTAAAGATAATGATGTCAAGGTAAAATAACTTAATTTTAAAGTTTATTAAAGGATGAATTCTTGATGAATTGGGAGTTTGGTGGACAAGTAATCTGTTATTTATCCCATTTTGGTTTCACTCAAACTTTGAACTTAAGTGAGTTATTGCCTTATGTAGGATCCAAAATGATTTAGAGATTGGGGAGAACTGTACATGGACTGCCCTGATAGAGGTTGGGAAAGACTGTCCTGATAGAAGATTGGCAAGATTGTCCTTATTGAAATGTTGGAGTTAGAGGACTGTTCGAATAGTGGATTGGAAGTTAGGGAGGACTGTCCTGATAGAGGTTGGAGAGGAGGACTGTCCTGATAGAGGTTGGAGAGGAGGACTGTCCTGATAGAGGTTGGAGAGGAGGACTGTCCTGATAGAGGTTGGAGAGGAGTACTGTCCTGATAGAGGTTGGAGAGGAGGACTGTCCTGATAGAGGTTGGAGAGGAGGACTATCCTGATAGAGGTTGGAGAGGACTGTCCTGATAGAGGTTGGGGAGGAGGACTATCCTGATAGAGGTTGGGGAGGAGGACTGTCCTGATAGAGAATGTGGGGGACTGTCCTGATAGAGGTTATGGAAGGCTGTCTTGACAATGGTTGGGGAGGACTGTTTGCTGTCCGTTGTATATATACTATCCTTTTCTTATACATTGCATTTGTGATTTCAGATAATTGAATTGAATCTACGGGCATCAAGATCTTGTCCGTTTGTATCCAAGACGATTGGAACTGATTTTATAGATACAGCTACTAAAGTTATGTTGAATGAGAAGCTGCCCATCGCAGATCTTCCAACATTAGAAACCCCTCATAACCCTCAAACCTATGTTGGTATTAAGGTAAGTTCTGTCATTAAACACACCCATTAGAAACCCCTCATAACCCTCAAACCTACGTTTGTATTAAGGTAAGTTCTGTCATTTAAACACACCCATTAGAAACCCCTCATAACCCACAAACCTACGTTTGTATTAAGGTAAGTTCTGTCATTTAAACACACCCATTAGAAACCCCTCATAACCCACAAACCTACGTTTGTATTAAGGTAAGTTCTGTCATTAAACATACCCATTAGAAACCCCTCATAAGCCTCAAACCTATGCTGGTATAAAGGGGAGTTTTTCTGTTAAGTCTGTTTGAATATTTTAAGTTGTGCAAGGGTTAGTCAGAAATCTTCTACTCACTCTGATTACAGAAACGATGTGAGCAGAATATGGCATCTTCGTAATTCCAAGAATAATGGTAAAAAATTTTTTATTGAAGCCTGATTTATGAAAAATATTTTTTTTTGATTTTTGAACTAGTAGGAGTGGACTATATGAGCCAATCAAGACATCTTGAAAGTCTGATGTTGTATCAAAAACCTCCAGGATTATTTTGTACTCAGAAAGTTTTGTTTGTAATTTAATTAGATACAAGAAAATGTTGTAGTTATATTTGGTTTGTATTTATTTTCAGGCTCCTATGTTCTCGTGGCCAAGACTTTTAGATGCTGATCCTCTTCTTAAATGTGAAATGGCATCAACAGGGGAGGTAATCGTTGTTTGATACACAGCTAATTATATGTTCACATCTGGAATGACTATTGTTTATCAGTCTCTCAGACATTTCCCCTGATCAAAGAAATCTATTCTCAGTAATAAAGATCATCTCAACTACAGGAACCATGCGGGGTCAATGAATTCCAAATCTCAAGGGGTCTTTTACGTACATGCCATTCTTCCACGAGACCTTGATTTTTCGTTTAATCTGTTAAAAACGGCTATATGTTGTGCCTTGCCACTTGCCAGGCCCTCAGTCCTACACCACTGACAAAGGGGAACCATGCCAGAAAATCCTGATGAGCTTTCTGGGCCAACGCAGGACTAATGAGCCAACATCCTTCTCACTGAGAGAAACCATGGCTTCCCAAAAAAGTAGGGTGTTAACTTTTGTTAAAAAATATTCTGTTTTGTTTTTATTTAGGTGGCATGTTTTGGGAGAACTAAATATACTGCATTTTTAAAAGCCATGATGTCAGCTGGATTTAAACTACCCAAACAAAATGGTTCAGTGTTAGTTGGTGTACAACAATCTTTCCTTCCACATTTTCTACCAATTGTCAAACGACTATCAACTAATGGTTTTAAGGTAAATCTTTCCTTCCACATTTTCTACCCATTGTCAAACGACTATCAACTAATGGTTTTAAGGTAAATCTTTCCTTCCACATTTTCTACCCATTGTCAAACGACTATCAACTAATGGTTTTAAGGTAAATCTTTCCCTCCACATTTTCTACCAATTGTCAAACGACTATTAACTAATGGTTTTACGGTAAATCTTTCCTTCCACATTTTCTACCAATTGTCAAACGACTATCTACAAATGGTTTTAAGGTAAATCTTTCCTTCCACATTTTCTACCCATTGTCAAACGACTATCAACTAATGGTTTTAAGGTAAATCTTTCCCTCCACATTTTCTACCAATTGTCAAACGACTATCAACTAATGGTTTTAAGGTAAATCTTTCCTTCCATATTTCCTACCAATTGTCAAACGACTATCAACTAATGGTTTTAAGGTAAATCTTTCCCTCCACATTTTCTACCAATTGTCAAACGACTATCAACTAATGGTTTTAAGGTAAATCTTTCCTTCCACATTTCCTACCAATTGTCAAAAGACTATCAACTAATGGTTTTAAGGTAAATCTTTCCTTCCACATTTCCTACCAATTGTCAAACGACTATCAACTAATGGTTTTAAGGTAAATCTTTCCCTCCACATTTTCTACCAATTGTCAAACGACTATCAACTAATGGTTTTAAGGTAAATCTTTCCTTCCACATTTCCTACCAATTGTCAAAAGACTATCAACTAATGGTTTTAAGGTAAATCTTTCCTTCCACATTTCCCACCAATTGTCAAACGACTATCAACTAATGGTTTTAAGGTAAATCTTTCCCTCCACATTTTCTACCAATTGTCAAACGACTATCAACTAATGGTTTTAAGGTAAATCTTTCCTTCCACATTTCCTACCAATTGTCAAACGACTATCAACTAATGGTTTTAAGGTAAATCTTTCCCTCCACATTTCCTACCAATTGTCAAACGACTATCAACTAATGGTTTTAAGGTAAATCTTTCCTTCCACATTTCCTACCAATTGTCAAACGACTATCAACTAATGGTTTTAAAGTAAATTTTCGTCCATATATTTTGAAGAATTTCTCAGATGTATCAAACTTATCTCACACTAAATTTGAATTAAAGGAGGCAAGTCTTTAACTCAATATCATCCACAGTCGTCAACATTGCAAACACGACTTATTGGTTAATTTACATCAACATTGGTGTTGTTATCTTACTGTGAAAAGATGGGTTTCTGATATCCGATATTTAAGACATAATGAAAATTTTAAAATTGGCACATGAATCGCATACCAGAATGCTTTCAAACTCCATTTGTAATGAAGCCACTTGAAGAACGAGGCTAAATATACCCCACAGAGGAACACTACTGGTGTAGACAAAGACTGTCGGTCAATTTGGCCTCTTCACCGAACATCACTGATTAGAAATTACAGTAAAAACAGAAACGATTGAATGTAAATATGTTTATATACATTCATATAATACATATGTGTTCATTTCTAGGTGCCAAAGAATAGCGATTTAGCTCCTGGGATTTCAGGATTGCACATTAGTCTTCTGGAGTTACTGCCCCTGTGTCCAAAGTATATTAGCTTATTTTTACATCACATGACTTTTGTACAAGTTGGTTGTTGTTGTATATTCAATTACTGATAAATATTATGTCTTTCTTTTGTTTTGTTTACTAGATTTATGCCACGGAGAAAACAGCTGATTATTTAAATATTCATTATATACCAACACAAGCTGTCAGCTGGGATATAGAAAATGCTAACCCTAATTTAATGTCGGCTACCAGGTTATAACTGTTTTTATATTTCATAATACAGGCAACTGACGAAAGGTGGTTGCTTATTGAAGTCGATCACTTAATGCATCAAATGGCGGTCGCTATGATTTCTGTGGGTTGACTTACTGTGAGAAACCATTTGAACAGAATGGACTATATCTGATAGTTTAATTTAACAAGAAATGGAATGAAATGAAATAGGGCTTAACGTGTTTACTTTTTGTGCACTGAACAAAACTAGGGTTTTACATGTTACTGAACAAGCACATGAAGCTGGACAGCAGGACCCTTGAAAGGACAAAAAAAACATGTGCTAGGGCAGGATCTTTTTTGCCCCTCCCCCCACCACCTTTCCAACACCAGTCACTAGCAGATTGCGATAAAGCAAAAACTTTTGTACATACTTATATAAGCTTCAAAGGAACAATAAAAAATTCATGCATAATTACCCATTTCAAATTTAAACTTTGATATCTATGGGCCCCATAGACTTGTATGGCTCAGGAGGTGGCGTACCAGCAGCACCCACCTCTCGATAGGCTATGAAGACAATCAATGGCTTTTTTATGGCGTGCTCTTTAGTATTTCCTACTGCCATGGGATCTTTAACATCCTGCTAATGGTATACACATATACATGTGCACATATTCCTTTAATTGTAATAGGTCTTTTAAAAAATATTCCTACTGGATAAATTTGATGAATTAAAATCTGCTACTGGATAAATTTGCTGAATTAATATTTTCTTTCTTTTAGGTTAATACAGGATGGTGAAATAAATCTAGTTATTAATTTACCCAATGAATATACAAAACATACGAAAGATAATTATCTTATACGACGTGCAGCTATAGACTCCGCTACTCCATTGATGACAAACTTTGAAGTAAGTCACAATTTAAAATACAAAATTTACTTAGTTGCTCTTCTCACATTTTGAAATTTTGAAATTAAAAAAAAAATAAAAAAAAGTTCATGGGACTCCAACGGTTATCTAATTATCAAGACCCAGGAGAACTAAAAATCCATTTGGTTTGACCATATTGTCACTTTTACACTTTACAGGGGGTTTGGGTGGGTGGTCTAGTGGTGTAACGTGTGCACATTAGATCACAAGGTCTGTCATTGAGTCAACTGGGGTGGTTTCAATTCCCTGCTTGTCCGTGACAAGGAGTAGTGTCCCCTGTCCAGTCTCGTGGGTTTTCTCCGGGTCCTCTCATTTCCTCCCACTGCTGTAGATGTTTAATATTGAATATACTAACTATCGAACATCACGTTTCATCAATTACACATCAATTACTGTCCACATTCCTCATCGTATCTATCAACAACTGACAGCTCGCATCCCTGGCAACGGAAGCTTTCTTCAGGCATGCGTAACTCAATCCACCGGAAACGAAAGTTTATTATCAAATGTCAACAAAAACCCCTACATTATTGAAATAAATTTAAAACCATGTCCCGAAATGACCTAGATTGTGTCACGTGACGTTAGGGTCCATTTCTCTCTTTCTCTCTTACACATTACAAATTTTATGAGGAATGTGTGTTTTATTCCTATATGTTAATCAAGTTGCAGTTCTGTAGCAATTTAAGGTCTCACCTGTGTACGGGCTAATGAAGACACGCTGCGCTAGGAGAGAAATTTTGCCCACATAATAATATTCTAAATTAACAAACAGATGAGAAATATATATTAATTTGACAAATTCACTATTTCAAAAAATCGAAATAGTTTAAAAAATATTAATTTTTTTTATATGAATTGAATAGCATTCAGATAATGTTCTTAATCCAAATAATTACTTTTTTCCAAACAATTGACATTATTCAAATAATTGACATAATTCAAATAATTGACATTATTCAAATAATTACTTTATTCATCAAAAAATAACTTTATTCAAGTAATGACTTTTTTTTACATAGCTTTATTCAAAGATAACTTTATTCAAATTATAACTTTATTCAAGTAGATATACAAGTAGTAACTTTATGGAACTAATGACGTTATTCAGATAGATGTGATTACAGGTAAATGATATTCTTGTTTGTTTTAACAGATTGTCAAGTTATTTGTTGAAGCGTTGGATTATGTTGGTAATGTTCAAGCTACAAGTTTGTTTGATTATCAAAAACCAAGAGAAACCAGAAAAACAGCTGAATCAACAAATTGATGAAAATACTCAATTCCTACCATCGTAACTACAGTATTTGATCTGATATGTATGTTTGTTGTTGTTGTTTCTATATATTGTGTCCTGTCTTGTATGTTGGAACTGAATGGACCTTGATCTGATAATACTCAATTTCTACCGTCTGAACTACAGTATTTCTTCAGTGATCTTTCTAGCCCCCCCGGATCCATTTATTTGATCTGATATGTATGATTGTTGATTGGGATGTCTTTATATTGTGTCCTGTCCGGATGTTTGTCTTGTGTAATTGTTTGTGTGTGTGGTGCGGTCCCCCTGCTCTTAATATTTACATGGAGTTTTTTTGGTCATTTTCAAAAACACAGACTTCCCAAGAATACCCCGAACTGCCTGAATGACATAACTAGTTCAGAGCTATTCATGTGATTCGGGTAGGTTGAGGTACTAGAGAAAACAGTTATAGAGTTAAAAATGTTGATAGTTATTTACACTTAAAACAGCAATATTTTTATTAAGTCAGTCATGGGGGGTGTCTCAGGTACCAGAAAAGAAGGCTCTGGTGTCATAATATTTGTTTTGTTTAAACTGGAATTTATACTAAAGGGAATAGTTAAAATCCTACCCCACCCCAACCTCTTAACCCTTGTCGGTGCACGTTGTGAGAATCACATATCAGGTATCAAGGAGTCCATATGGACCCCAGTTATAATTCAAAATTTTTACGTACAGATATATCTGAATTAAAAGGCAGCGGTTTAGTTTTTATTTGCATTCATATTTGACAACTGAAAAACAACTAAATTATTATACAAAAACATTTTAGTGACATTTGGAAAAGATTTAATAATTATCACAAAATTGCTACTTTGTGTACTATGTGATGAAGAGGTTAAATGGCTATTCACGCTTGATACAAAAACTATTACATATATGGAATTCATCATTACATTCATCATGTAAAACATGTGCATGGGGTCCACGGAGACCCCCCACGTGCACCGACAAGCGTTAAACAACATTGGATTGATTAAGTTAGTTTTTGGGTATTTCTGATAAAAATAAAACAAACTAAACTTTAATTGATATATAAAGGTATAGTTATTAATATAAAATACCCTAAAAACCCCATTATTTTGATCATGTCAGCCATTGGATGTGTTTGATAAGAATAATGAAATCAGCATCGAAATACGTCCACTGTGCGACAGGGCTAATAATATGAATCTTGTGTTGTGTTGTTTCTTTTGTTAAATCATGTGCTAATTTACAAACTTATTGTTATTTCTTTGTTTTTGGTTTTGAATTTACTATTGTATATATAATATATAAGGTCACACCTGTTTGAAATTTTAGTTCTTGGGTGCAACTTTTTAAAGTTTCGCTTCCTTTTTCTTCCAAGAACATAAAACACTTAGGGGATGCTGGTTTGTCAGTCTGGAACGTTCTGAATTGCAATCGTGAGAGCGGAGTTCAGTCCTGTCACCCTCAACAACGGAGGTAGTGCGGGTAGAATCGTGATGTAATTAAACAGCTGTCATCGTTGGTTAAGAAGATATTTTCTCATGCAGTCGGCGCATGCGTTCTAGCTCCTAATTCCCATTTTCACTCGATTGTCGCTATTTTAGTGTTTGACAGAATTCAATTCCGGAAGGGTCAGTCGAGCATCCCCTTAGTTTTTCGACTCAAAAAGCTCTTTATGACAAATTTTCTACATTTTGATAAAATATCCAACTGGTCGTGGCCTATATAAAATTGTAATATAGATATTACGCATTACTTGGTGCTCAAATGATTGGCCTTTACTCGTATATATATTGTCTTTATCTTATTACATTTTTATAATCAAGATTTATATGCTTAACTTCATTTTTTTTTTTTCATATATCTGGTCTGGGGGCCATAAACCCCATTTTTTTTTTTTTACGGGGCTAAAGAATTATGTTGGGTAAAGGAAAAAAGGTTTTGTGGCCCAAGGACCCAGAAAAGCTTTATTTGTTCCATGACGACCAGTTAAAGGTCATGTTTTTGATTTTTTTTGTCAAATTCTATTTTTCCCCTATTAAAGAAAAACCTATATCTAACGGATGTGTTTCTTTATCTTTGGTATTAATTGGGGGATTAATCATGCGCTACCACTGGAAGTGATATCGCAAACAAACCTTAATTTAGTGACTTCAACCCATGCGCAGGAATCTTTGCTATTGAGAAGACGCCCCCATCTCCAAGCTGCAAATGCTCACACCAGGTATCGAACCTACAGTCAGCTAGAGCTCAAAGCACAACACCCTTAAACCACTTGAGGTGATCTCGTCCCGTACCTAGCTGGTTGTATGTGGCTATCTTACGGTAGCTATAGTAACAACACTTGATATTGTACTTGGAGGGATAGATAAACCTAGTCTCACATTGTGTAATCAGTTCTTGCGACAGGTCATTAATTTTCAAATATTGGAACTCATTAATGGGCTCTGCAATGAAATGCTCGAACTGAAGAATTTTGAATATTGTGAAAAGGACTACTATTTAATGTGATTGATATTTTGGTTTTGTTCTCTTAATTAAGGGGAGCCACAATGACACAGTAAGACATTGACTTTCTGTTGTGCAGGACGGTACGAAATTTTCACCCATTGTACACTGAACAGTAGGACTTTGAACCCCATTTCTTAATTAAATGTTGAATACTTAGTTTAATCCACAAGACGATGTACTCAAATTGTGTTTAAGGCCCACACAAAACTTGGAGAAACGCGTTTCTAGTTGACCAAGTCAAGAACTAATTAAAATTTTCTCCCAAGTTTTTTGTGGGCCATAATTCAGTTTTAAACTTATGATTGATGCAATCACACATAGCTGG